GGACTTGAATCTATTGTAGGAGATAAGTGTAGAGGTATATGATGCTTATAAAGAAGAGATGTTCAATTTGAGAGCCATGCTTTTTGTTACAATTAATGACTTTCTGGCATATGGTAATGTATTAGGGTATACCATTAAAAGACAACTTGGATGCCCTATTTGTGAAGAAGGCACACATTCGGTGAGGTTATAACATGGTATAAAGAATGTGTACCTTGGGCATCACAAATGGTTGAGTAACAAGCATTGATATCGTCGTTGGAAAAAGTCATTCAACGAAACATTAAAAGAAGAGAGGCCACCAAAGTAATTGACTGGTGAGGAATTGTTTGGGAAGATAAAAGACGTTGATATTTAATTTGGTAAACCATTTGCAAAGCATGTTGGAACAAGCAGGTGGAAGAAAATGTCAATATTCTTTAAGTTGCCATACTGGAAGACCTTAAATGTGAGACACTTCCTTGATTTAATGCATATTAAGAAAAATGTCTGTGACAGTCTTGTTGGCACATTACTTAATATTCCAGGAAAAACTAAGGGTGGCATTAATGCGAGGTTAGACATGGTTGTGATAGGGATAAGAGAAGAATTGGCACCGCAAGAGAAGGGAACTCGTACATTTCTTCATGCTGCAGCTCATACACTGTCTAGAAATGAAAAGAAAAGTTTTTGTGAGTTTCTTGATACGGTCAAGCTTCCAGATGGATACTCTTCAAACATTAGAAATCTTGTTTCACTAAAAGATCTAAAGTTAAAAGGTTTAAAGACTCATGATTGTCATGTTTTGATGGAGAATTTTATTTTGGTGGCTATATGTGGTATTTTACCTAATAATGTGTGAGCTACAATCACAAAGCTATGCTACTTCTTCAAGTGTCTTTGTAGTAAAGTAATTAGCCCTGATAAGTTATCGAGGTTATAAAGTTGAATTGTGCAAAAATTATGTGAGATGAAGATATTTTTCCTCTTGCATTCTTTGATATAATAGTCCACCTAACAGTTCATTTGGTTAGAGAGGTACAATTATATGGCCCTGCTTATTTGAGGTGGATGTATCCATTTGAGCGTCACATGAAAGTATTGAAAGGTTATGCTAAAATTCAAAGTCGATCAAAAGGTTGCATTGTTGAACGATATATTAGTGAAGAGGCTATCACTTCTGTAATCAATACTTAAAGAATTCAAGTGTTATTGGTGAAGAAGGTATAGAAAGGACAACAAGAAGAAAAGTTGTCACTATCTCAAGTGACCAGTGGAAAAAAGTATACCTTTTTGTGCTATACAACTCTCTAGAGGTTGATGATTATGCTAAGATTCACCAAACAGAGCTTAAGAGGCAAAACCCTTATCGATTAGATAGTTGGATCACCAAACTACATAATAAATAGTTTATACACCGGTTAAAAGAGCATATAGAAGGGAGGTATAATGTCAATCCTAATTCAGTTCCTGATAGATTGAGATGGTTATCACAAGGACCGAACAAACATGTCCTCTCTTACACGAGCTATATCATCAATGGGTACAAGTTTTATACGAAAGAGCACAATGATCGAAGCAAGATGCAAAATAATGGTGTATTTACCATAGTTGATGGCATGCACATTTCCAGTACGAAAGATAAAAAACCCATCTATGCTAGAATGTGTTACTTTAGGGTAATTGAGCATATTTGGGAGTTGGATTATATCTCCTTTTGATTTCCAATCTTTGGTTGCAAGTGGGTTGAAAATAATAATGGGTTGGATGTCGATGACTTTGGGTTGATTAGGGTGAATCTAAAGAAGGAAGGGTATAAAGAAGATCCTTTCATTTATCTATCTCAAGCTAAAGTTTTTAATGTCAATGATCTTACTGATAAGGAATAGTCTATTATTTTGTGAGTAATAAGGAAGTTGAAGAAATGGAAGCTGTAGAAAGTAATAAAAATGAGCAAAATAGAAAAAATGATGAAGTTGAGGTTGATCTGTTTCATGGGACATCATTTAAAAATGATGATAGCTTAGACAATATTGAAGATGGTACTTTATACATAAGATATGATCACAATGAGGGCATTTGAATTTTTAAGAAGGGGAGATCAATTCATCTAAAGAAGAAAACTATTAAAGTTAAAAAAGAATTAGTTAAAAAAGTAGTTAGGATAAGAAAAAGAAAAAGAACAAAATAAATAGGTAAATGACTATTTTTTACTTACTATTTTTTCAGTTTTATATTTTTTATTTAATCTAGTTAAGATGTTGCTCTTGTTTGAATTATTATTGTTTTATTTAATCTTGATTATTGATGTCTTCATAGGTAAATGGCTACCGAGGGTGATTATCTAGATATTGGATCTAAATCTAGTAGTTCTAACAGGCAAAATGTGACTAATAAGGAGGAAGAACAGCTAAAGAAGGGATTAGTTGTGATGGAGTAGGTGACAAAAGCAAGAAATGAAGGGAAGAAGTTTACTGTCAAGTGGAATAATAAAAATTAAGTAGTTGATAGTAATAATTTCATCAGTTATATCGGGGTGGTAGTGAAGTCTTGTGTGCCTATTAATTTAAAGTCATGGAGGAATGCAACTCCCGCAATGAGGGATGCAGTATGGAATACTATAACAGTAAGATATTATCACTTTAATTATTATCTTAAACTTATTTATGATATATGTTCTTCTCATAAGTTAACTTGTTTGTTTTGTAGTCGGGATTTGAGATTGAGGAAAGGCATAAGAAGTACGCCCTACAAAAGGCTGGGGTAGCCTTCCGAGCTTTTAGAAGTTTTGTCTCTCGTAAATTCTTGCAGAACCCCGATGTGGAGGGAATTAAAGACACAGTTCCTCCCCTTTTAGGCTGATTGTAAATTTAAATGAATGGAAAGATTTTGTTGACTCACGCCATAGTCCAGAGTTTAAGGTATTTTTTTTATTATTCTATTAAAATATTGTTGCTTTTGTTGGCATTTATTTCAACTTATTTGTCATGTTTTGTGTTTTTAAAGGCATTAAGCACCAAAAACAAAGAGTTGGTGAAAAAGAATGAATATACTTATAAAGCTAGGCGTAAGGGATATGCAGGTGTTGAAAAGGCCTTAATTGAAAAAGAGCAGGTGCCGAGGGTTCTATATCTTATGGCAAGATTTGAGTCGAGGCTCGAAAGAACAAATAAGACAATATTGATAATCCGAAAACAAAGGTGGTTGTTGACACAATAGTAAGTGTTAATGATATAATGTTATTAATTATTTATTTTTACTTATTTACCTTACCTTTATTGCTTTACAGGAGAGCTTGACTCAGGAGGCATCAGCAGGCACTCTTACGGCTAATGAAGATATCTTGGAGAAGGCATTGAGAAATAATGACCATCCTAGTTGTGTTCGGGGCGTCGGTTTTAGCATTACAAAGAAAGAATGCTTTGGAAAAGGGTACATGTGTTGTAAAAAAAACTGCTTCTTCTGTTGAGGTTCAAGAACTAAGGCAAGAGCTAGCAAAATAGAAGCAACAGATACAAGCACAGTCACATCATATACAAGAGCAATCTAGACTTATTGACATGCTGTTGGATCGGCATAAGTTAGGATTTTCACTGAGTGACATTAGCCCTAGTGTGAATGATAGCTGCATAGTCCTATCTCAGCTCCTACTTGAGGTAATATTATTTATTTTCCTAGCCTTATTCATAGTAATATTATTCATATTATGTAATAATTTTGTCTTTTTAGGATGAGGCTGATGTTGATTGCTTGGGAGAGAATGGCAGTTTGGTTGCACTGGGACGAATGTATAATATTACTAGCCAAATCATACTTTACAATGAGATTCTCCCTGAAGGGACAGTCAAGGTTTCTTTGAAGATAGTTGAAAAACTTAATTATGATCTACCTCACCCTACTAAAGATGCAAGGACAGTAGTAGATGTAATTGGAAGCTTTGTAGCATGGCCAGTTCGTCTTATACGTATTTCAGCACTGTCCCCAAAGGTATAACGTCTAAATTCATAACTGAAATTTATTTGTAATTGATCTCTAACTATATATGTGTGTGTATGTGAGAAAAACTAGCCTGTTGATAAGCCTATGGCCAAGAAAGCATTAAAGGCTATGAAGGCACTGGCGAATAATAAGCAAAATAGGGGAAATGATAAGAACTCCGTTGAAAAATCTAAGGAGTCCATCACATTTCCCAAGAATGCACCGAAGGTTCTCCCTTAAACCTATATGCCTAAAGCCTCTCAATTAACACCTTAGCGTCAACTAGTCACACCCGACAGACACCAAAAGTTGCTTAAGACATATGCAGAGACACAAGAAGGAGTAATGCTCCCTTTCCCTACAGCAATGTATGGAGATCTGGAGTCTATTGATCAAGTTAACAATGAGGTTTTGAGTAACTTATTTAGCCATGCATGGGCTACCACTACTTTATGTAACTTATATATAAGGTATGTTTCTAAAACCTTACATTAGATATTTACCAATATCTATATCTTAATCATTTATTGATCAATTTATGTTGACATTATTTAAGAAACCTGTTTTTTTACATGCTTGCTGGGAGAGATGTAGCAAAGAGGGTTATACTTGTCAGTCCCTACTCGATCTCTCCTTATGGCCACAAGACAATGAGTCCTAAGTAAGGATTAGAAATAGCTCAGATGCTTTCTAGATACTTCAAGTAATATAGCGCTAATAAGAACAAATATTCATGGCATCTTATTGTGATGGGTAAATCATTTAATGATACTTTGCTTTATTCAAAATTAAATTATGACACTTCCTAATTGTAATCATTATCATAGGGGGCATTGGATGATACTTGTGATCAATCCAACTATAGGGAGATTATGGTATCTCGACCCTATTAGAGGTGGTGATCCTACCAACAAACTGCATATAGTAGAGATGATTGATTAGTAAGTTTACTAAGTTTTGTGCATATATATATATATATATATATGTAATTCGTTCTTAACTTTTCTATTGCATGTTAGAGCCATTGTCATGTACTGCACTAAGGTCAATCAACAATCTCGACAACTAATAATGGGTAGTGGTCGCCTTGATAAAGCAATATCATGGACAATTATTAAGGTATATGTATTTATCATTAATTATGTGTTTACAACATAAATATAAGTCATGTCATGTCCTTAACTGATCAGATTTTTTATCTAATGTGTGATCGTAGTGCCTGGAATAACATGACAAAGCTAGGGATTATGGGTACACTATCATGAGATATATGAAGGACATAATTCAACATGCTCCTGTCGGGACTCTTCCAGAAAATGTATATATGTTGTTGACATTCTCTTCATTATTTAATATTTTTAGTAATTAACATGACTTTAGTTTGTTGTTTTTGCAATTAGTACTACGAGGACGCATATTGCGACACATTTACTAAGGCTCAAATGGAAGAAGTCCTTGAAGAGCTAGCATGTGGCATTTTTCAAGCGTGGTTTAGCTATAACAACTAGCAACAGTAAAGAAATAGATGATGTTGGTATATATTTAAATTTGACATAGATATAGTTATACCTACTTGGTCAATTTTTTGAGATATGAAGCTTTATTTTGGCCACTTATAGGTTTAATTTAAGCTAGTTCAAATTGTATATAGCTTATGTAGTTATGCACCATATAAATTTTATCATTTTATGTATAGGATAATATTATTGGCTATTGAAATTTTGTTATGGGTGTGTTGTATACTGTATTTGTAAATATTCAATGTAGGGGTTGTTAGAAATGTAAAGGATGAATAATAAAAATGTAACCTAAAATATTCAATGGTTAAATTTTATAACCATTGAATATATTAATAATATCCAACGGTTTTCTGAAAAATCGTTGCATATTCTGGCCATATATTCAACGATTAATATTTTAACCGTTGAATATATAAGTATATGCAACGGTTTTTTATTTAAACCGTTGCATATTCTCTATTAGTTTTTTTAAAAAAATGTCTCACGGCCATATATTCAATGGTTTTGAAGAATAAATCGTTGAATAAAAGTTTAGAATATATTCAGCGCCTGATTACTCAACAATTCATAACCATTGAATATCATTTAAAATGACCGTTGAATATTGCCATTTTTGCAGTAGTGACAATTGAATTTGATAATCAAGAACAACATAGAGTTAGACCTGTTGGAGAGAAGAAACCACCTATTTGGTCTAAAGATTATGTTTATTTGCCTATGATACATATAATATTAAGTCCCCTACAATGGCAAGTTTCTTATAAATTTGTTTCTACATCTTATAAATGCTTTTTCTCTTCCATTGATTCTGATATAGAGCTAGGAACTATGAACAGGCTACTAAGCATACTAAGTGGGTTAAGTCTATAAATGTTGAACTCAAAGCATTTGAAGATAATGAGACCTGAAAAATAGTTGACTTCTAAAGGGAAAGAAACCAATAGGTTGTAGATGGGTGTACAAAATTAAATGTAAGGTTGATGGCGGTGTTGAGTGATATAAGGCTAGGTTGGTAACAAAGGGTTACTGTTAAAGAGAAAGGGTAGACTATTAGAAAACCTTTTCCCTTATTATAAAGATGGTCACTATTAGATCTATTCTATCCTTAGCTACCCAACAAAAGTAGATTTTGCACTAGATGGATGTCTATAATGCATTTTTGCAAGGAGGCTTGAATGAGGAAGTTTATATGACTATACCTTAGGGTCTTCTTGGAAAGGGGGAGAGTAAAATTAAAGTTTGTAAATTCAATAAGTCCTTGTATGGCCTAAAACAAGTTTCATAATAGTGGAATTATAAGTTAACTCAAACCTTAAAAGAATGGGGTTTTAGTCAAAGCATGAATGATTACTCATTGTTTGTTGAGCATTTTCATGATGGTGTGGTTTTAATTCTCATCTATGTGGATGACTTATTAATCATTAGTAGCTCTAAAAATGGAATTACATAGACCAACAATTTTTTGTATAGCAAGTTTAAAATAAAAGACCTTAGCTCGTTAAAATATTTCTTGGGAATTAAGGTGACAAGATCCTATAAGGGTATTGTCATGAATTAAAGAAAATATGTGTTGAATTTATTGTTTGAAATGGGGATGAGTGGTTGCAAACCATTTTTGATTCCTATGGCACAAAATTTAACATTGACAACCTATAAGAAGGAAAGAAATAAGAGAGAGGAATGGTTGAAGGACTTAGGAGAATATAGAAGATGTATTAGTAAGTTAATATATTTGATAATAACATGTCTTGACATTTCCTTTTCTGTGCAGTACTTGAGTTAGTTTATGCAATCCTTATGAAAATACACATGGCAGAAACAAAGAATGTGCTGAGGCACTTAAAGAATAATCCAGGCTTAGGAATACTCTTGAGTTCTAAAGTAGTTTAAAGTTGACATGATTCTGTGACTTAGATTGGGCAGTGTGTAATACTACAAGAAGATCGGTCTCTAGTTATTTATTAAAACTAGGAGACTCCTTAATCTCCTAGAAAACAAAGAAGCTAAGTACTATATATAAATCATCAGCTGAGGTTGAGTACAAGGCTTTGAGTGTTGGGACTGACGAAGGATTTAGGATTGCATGGTCTAGCCCTGTGCAAGTTTTTTGTGACAGTAGGGTAGCAATTCACATAGCCAACAATCTTATATTTCATGAGAAAACTAAGCACATAGAGATAGATTGCCACTTTGTAAGGGAAAAATTACAATAAAGAAAGATTTTTTGTGTCATGTACATTCTGTAGATTAGGAGGCAGATGTGTTGACTAAATCTTCAAGCAAAAAATCTCATTATAGGTTTCTCTACAAGTTGAAAACTATTGATTTGCATAATTCCAACTTGAGGGGGAGTATTGAGAATAAATAATGTTTTTTAGTTAGTTAGTTTCAGTAATGTTGTTTATTGTTTGTCGTGCCGTTTTAGTTACTTTTGTGGTATATAAATAGTCTTGTTTGGACCCTTATTTCATTAATGAAAGTCATTATTTTTGGCTTAGCATTCAGTTATAATCTGTACATTTTGACAGATTACCTATTTCATTAGAAAGAATCCCTTGAACTCATAAATTTTAGTTCTTTTATAAACTTCTCGATGTAGGACACATGACAATGTATATATCTCTTTTATAATATATAGACTAAATCAATGCATTTGTTTTGTGTACTTTGAATTTACCTTAGAGTATGTCTTTTTATATCACTGATGAATTTGAGTTGTAACTAAAAGGTGGAGCAGTTAATAAGAGAATAAAATATGGTGGATGTGTTTGTTGTGATAGAAATTACTGCAACTTTCTCAGAGGAAGAGCTAAACTTCTTGAAAAGAATATGTTAGCTTTCTCTCTATCTTTTCCTATCTATATGTATTCTATCATGTCCAAAATGACTCACTTCAATAAAATCAAATGTTTGAGATAGTGATTGTCCTAAGGAGATTAAAGAAGCAACTTCAAGCTTGATCTTTGTATCTACTAGATGTGGAGAATTTCCAAAGCTTTAAAAGATTAGAGAGATTTTCACTTTCAGATATGGGGAAGGATTCGCTGCTCATGATGTGAAATTGCACCAAATAATAGAGTGAACTCAAAGTTTCTAAAATTGACCAATGTGGTAAAAAAAATCACAAAAAGAAAAAATGTCATTGTTGTGAACAAAATATAGAGAGAATTAACAGTCTACACTAGATTCAACTCTCTGACATCTATGAATTGGATTTCTCTGTTATAAAATTACAAAACAAATTGAGTGGTAAGTATGAGGAAGAAGAGCATCAGAGGAAGAAAACTAGCAATGGCACGGCCAATTATGTACAGATCTCAGCTTGAACATGAATCATATTAGACAATGAAATTTTGTGGAGTATTAACAATGGTTTTAGTCTTTAAGAATTAATGGAGGAAATTGCATTTTACTTTCATAATTAAAACCTAATGAGGTTTACAGCCTTAAAATTAAAGTCTTTACTCCTACAATCAAAACCAAACCCCAAGCATGATGTTTGAGGAAGCAGTACATATTTTGAACATTAAGGTTCCAAAGAATAATCAAGTTATGTGAAAAATTAACAAGACAAACTAACCCTCAAATTAGTTTAATTTTTATTAATCTAGTCACTTGTGCTGTGTTTTTTTCTTTTATTTTTAAATTTTTGAGTTTTTTCTACATAAATAATTACACCTTTGTTTAATTAATATACATGGTTACCATTAATATTTAGTTATCCATATTAGCATATTTATTTAAACAATATGGACCAAATAAAAACTAAAGCAAACTTAAAGGATCAAATTGATAAAAATTAAATTTGAAAGACTAAATTAATAATGAAGGCAAACTTAAAGGACAAAAAGTTTCAATTTTCCAAAAATAATGAATATTCTATAATATTAAATGACTATAATTCATTATAAAGTGTAATGACCATAAATTTTAAATTAAGTTAAATTAATTTTTCTCTTTCAATTAAAATTTTATTTAAATTAGTTTTATATAAGGGTGGTGGTTTGTAGTAGTTTATGCTAGCAATTTTTTTAAAATTAAAAATTTAAAGTAAAAGTTTGATTTTATTTTATTTTTTATTTATTATAAGAAGATTTTGTGCCTTTGTTGTACTTTTTTTGGGCCTTTCTTGTAATTTTCACAAACATTTCTTTGATCAGATTTTATTTCTTTGCCCGAAAGAAAAATGGAGCATTCCCATCTTTCACTTCACCGCCATTACTCTCCTCTGGTTCTTCATCATCGGTCCTATTCTCTGGCTTTTCTCGTTGATTTCCTTTGCTTGCTGTTAACCTGTGCCTCTTCGCTACAATCGGATTCTCCGCCGTTGTCGTTGGCTGCTGGAAATGGCTGGACGTCCCTGTCTGTGCATAGCAAGCTCAAATCATTCTTCTTTTTTTTCTGGTCTGTAATTTCTGTTTCTCATCCTCGTTGAGCAGCTGGATTGAAACTCCCCTTCTCTTCTTCAGTGTGGTTCGTGAGTTGAACGGTGGCAGCCCCACCGCATTTTGGTGGGAGGTAAAACAATGATTCTTCCTTCTTCTCCTTCGGTTTCAATTCCAACATGGATCCTCCTTCTTTCCCTCACTGAAGAAATGCGTCCCTGTTTCTTTGAGTTGCTGTCATAATTTTTTTTTTTTGAATTTGAGTTGTAATTTCTGTTGAGGCTATGCATGATTTTGGTTGATGATGAGCTGAATGTTGATAATAAGGTAATGTTGGAAGTTGATTAAATGGTTGAATGATTATTATGAACTTAATTTGGATGCATTTAAGATATTTATAGAAATGTTTGAGAGAAAATTTTTTATGGAAACAATGTTGTTAAATTGGTATAATATAACTTGGAGAAATATATAAGTGAGAAGTGTCTTGATCTATTAATTAAAATTTGAAAATATCAAATTAGGAGCAAGGATTACATAGAATGTTTGTATAATATTTTATTAAGTTTAAAGAAAGTATAAAAATAGTTGATATAATTTATTATGATTTATGATTGAAG